GAGGACCCGGATTGTTGGTGGGGGCAATATGCTGACTCTGTAAACCGCTTAGAGAGGGCTGAAAGCCCTATGAAGCGGTATGTAAGTCTAACTGCTATTGCTATTGCTAATTATTTTTATTCTGTTCTGAGCTGGAATGGGTCAACTTGGCATGGCCATATTTCCGTGGCCAGCTCACTGCAGGACAACTCGCAGCGGGATAAGTCAAACACTCAATTTAAGTATTTAGAATAATTTTTTAAAATATTTAATTTTTTTTCATTCCCATTTCATTTTGTTTCTCCTCTGGCATCCTTTCTTTGATTATTTCATTCCACCATTTCTTCCATATTAATGTAACTTGTCGTGGTGGTGAAGTGTCCCAAGCAAATTGGCTGCAGTGAGTTGACTGTGATATGTTGACCCTGGCAAGTTGGCCATGGTGAGTGGGCCACGCCCGTCCTGAGCAGCTTCCACATTCTCTTTGTTATTCTGTTATTCACATTGAAGGAGATAGATCTTTGTTATGTAGAATAGACTGGCTCAGGCCTTAAAGGCTCATTGACAAAGGGCCGAGTTTCTGCCTCCCTTTTAGGGGAAATATTCTATCTTTTTAATATTTCCTAAATATCTCATTTTCTAGGTGGGTGTTAACTTCCTACACACTGTAAATGAGTTCCTCTACCTTGCTGTGGGTCATTTCTTTCTTTCTTTCTTTCTTTCTTTCTTTTCCTTCCTTCCTTCCTTCCTTCCTTCCTTCCTTCCTTCCTAACAACAATTAACTCAGACTGTCTTAAGAAAGTTCAAAACATTCTTAAAGATCCATCTCATCCTGGGCACCCTTTTTTGTACTATTACCATCTGGCTGATCCATGATTGATTCTCTGTTATAGTCCACCTTAGTCAAAACATTCACAACAATTGAATTTATTATGGTGTCTCTAAATTAAAAAAAAACAGTCCCCAGAGACAATCAGATTTATAAATGTATACTGAAAACCAAACAGAAGATTACTTTCTCTGTGATGAATAGTTTGTGATGAGAAGAGAAATATGTTCCTGCTCACTCGATTAATTACAGTGCTTTTGCCTTTTATTTTTCCCCTGCTTAATCTGACTCCATTTATTAATACTGAACTGGTAAGCCTTTTAAAAAGCCTTTAGAAGTCAACGCTAAAGAATTAACTCACATTACAATTAGATGGGTCTGCAAAACTCAAGTTTTTTTCTCAGTGTCAAAACAGGTATCATATTAATACTTCTGAAATCATATCAGAGTTATTTGGAAATTAGGTAGCATCCAGATCAATCAATCAATCAACAACAAACATAATACTGTTACAAAGAGCATGGATTCTAGTCCTGCTTTTAATATGAAACCAACTTTGGGCCAGTCACGCTCTGTCAGCCCTAGGAAGCAAACAATGGCAAAAAAGTTCTGAAATTCTGCAAGATAACTGCAGGAATTTATCTAGGAAATTACCGGATGTTAACACTGACTTGAGGGCCTATGTGCAAATATAGACACATATATACCCACACATCCATACCTATACTCATATCCACACACCCAGACATCTTAACATTTACACGCCACCTGGTTAATTGATCGGTAATCACATAGCTGTCATTGATGAGCCATGATGGCACAGGTTAGAATGTAGTATTGCAGACTAATTTGCCGACTGCCAGCTGTTCGATCCTGACCGGCTCAATGTTCACTCAGCCTTTCAACCTGGTTAGGAAGGCCAATAAAATGAGGATCCAGATTATTGGGAGAAATATCCTAACTCTGTAAACTGCTTAGAAAGGGTTGTAGAACACTGTGAAGCATTATATAAGTTTAAGTGTTATTGCTATTATCTTCTTCTTACATACAGGTGTATTACATCACATAATGTATATATAAAAAGTGGAGTCTTGTGCCACAATGTCATATCACAATTCTTATTCTACCACCTTTGCAAATGCCTCGGGCTACACTGGAAATGCAAATGAAAATATTTCAGTTTAATACAAATGCTCGTCTCTAAGACAGACAGTAAGAAATGTAAGGAACACTGAGATAAAAGGGATGTTATTTTTTTTAAAAAAAAAACCTGCTTTAACAGCCTTTAATAGAAAGCCTTCTGGGGATCACATTATCTAATGATTGAATTCCCAGGCATCTAGTCTCTGTAGAAAATTCTGGGATTTCTCTGGGTC